GCTGCTTCCGCTTTTTGGCCCATTCATCGTTTTTCTATTTGTCATTTTTAATACCCATTAGTTTTCGAATGGTAAAAGGGTATGCTTAAAAATGTGAAAAACCCACACTTTGTTACAAATATAAAATCAAATCAGCTAAAACGTTTCTCTCCTTAAAAGCTATTAAAATTTTAACTACTTATTAATAAAATAAATTGAGTTTTCCTTCAAATGTTCATGATAACTCAAATTTTATTGAAGAGTATTCAAAACACGCAAACAGTTTTTTTAAACATTCCTTCTTCTTTTTTTCTGTTGATTCGGTTCCGTTTCTTTTTTTTATGGCAACGCAAAGCTGGTTTTATAACGATTTTCTTTTTAATACTTTGGTGTAAAAAAAAAAGAAGTTCGAAGCCCCCTAAAACCAGGACCACTCACGTGGTTTTGTGCACTGCGTGGCTTTCAGTCCCGTTCCTTCGGCGCTCCCCCGTCGCCCTTTGCACCTTGTTTTGTTGCTACCTGCGCTGAGTATTTAATGAAAATCACATCAAATCGATATGCAAGGGAGGAGACCCTTTAAGCCACCAGCGGAGGGCCCCCTGCCATCCTGACCATGTCGCCATCGCGCTAAACTTGAAACGCTCCACAAAACGCAGCTCCGCTAGGAGTCGGTTCCCTCTTTTCCAGGGGCGTCCTAGAAGGGGATCTTTAAATAAGATACTACTATAAATATATTATCACAAAAGTAATTAATCAAACCTAAATTAAATTACATATATCTCTTTTAAAAGTTTTCTAACTTGAAAGTAAAGTTTAGTCCTTTTAAAATAGTATTTATCAACATAATAATGAAATAGGGAAAAAGCAATTTATTTATTCGTAAATAGAACTTTATTCCCATCCAATACTCTGCTTGGAAACACCTTGTTTATTTGAAATCGTTAGTTATCCACCCAATTTTATCACGGACACCTCTGAACTGTGCGAATGCTTTCAGACTCTTCAATATGCACCGATGTATTTTCAACAAAGTGGATTAGAATGGTCCTTATGACCAGGCGTGTCCAGGAATGAAGGGAACGGGGGGGGACTCAGAGGTAGGAACTTTCGAGGGCGGGACTTTCAGGGGGGTCTGCGAAGCGAGAGACAGCAGTTAGATGAATGACCATCGATGACTAGATGGAGCATGGAGCCACAGTAAACTGCGGTTAAGGTGCAAAGAGGCCAGATAGAATGGGATAGACGGTGGATATCGGTGGAAGCTGGCTGGCTGGCTGGCTGGCTGGCTGGCTGGCTGGCTGGCTAGTATTAGCCCAATGCATTTCATATTTCTCTGTTGCAGTGGCAAAACCACCGCAAAGCTCAATGGCCAAACGATGGCCCAAAGCAAAATCACTGCCAAAGCCCCTAACCAAATGAACCTCGTGTTCCTCCGCCTTTTTTGGGGTTTGTCGGCATTTTTATATGCCTTTCGGTCTGGAAAAAAGCCTTTTACCCATACGAACAACTATTTTTCGATATGGTTTTTAATACCTTCACCGAATGGAATTAGGCCCGCTGGGGTACATTAGCTTATCGGACAGGCATTTTATTTGGAAGGGGGTTAGGTGGCTAAATCCAGAAAGATTATTTGAATACACATAATTATAAAAGATTACCAATGGTTTCGCAATGTAGGATTTCGAATTTGGAACATAAATATATTTAAAAATCATTTTAAATGGAATAGGAATCCTATATTTCGTACACATAAATAAGGAGTTTCATAGTTTTTAGCAGTTTCAAATATTTCAGAGAATAAAATGCGTTGTCCTAACTTTTGGTGACCATTTGGCTCTTCTTTTGGGAACATTTTCCGTTCTGTTGGTATTTATTTTATATTTGATTTTCGATTTGTTTGTGTCTCTTATTTTTTCGATCTCCTAGTATTTTGGCTTGTTTTCGATTTTTTGCTTGCTTGTTTGGGTACAGATTTTTGGGCGGGGGCAGGACAGCAGTCACTGACAAATTCTAATTGAACTTCGGTGCAATTGTCAGGGAAAAAGTGTGTGGGCTATATCGGGGGTCATATTGGGAGAGTTGGGGATCTTGTTTGAAAGGCGCTTAGCAAGCCGAGACAAGGCAGAACAAAAATGTTTAGTTACACTCGAATGACAGTCGCTTTTTTCCCGTCCCTGGAGTTTTGGCAACTGTCAAAATACAGATGCATGCCAGGGGCGTATGATAAAGGGGGGCGTTATTTTAGTAGGGGGTGTGTGGGGGGGGGGGGGGTTCATTGGGGGGGTGGATTTAAGGGGACCAACAAACAAACACCGCAAACGTGAGACGAACCGATGATGCCGACACATTCGTATACACACGGGTAAGCCGCTGGTCATTCGTTGATTGCCATACTATCTCCCTCTCCCTCTCTCTCTCTCTCTCTCTCAGCCTCGATCCGTGTGGCAGGCAACCAATTAGGTGACCCTGTATGACACTCACCCACCAGCCACCAGCCCTTTTGACAGGGGTCAAAAATGTCAGTGAAAATGCAAAACTTTTTTCCATCCCTTTATTTCCAAGGTATATTGGATATTATAAATAAGATATATATTTAAGGACAAATAAGTTTCAGCTATAATCAGTAATACAAATTTCTTTGCTTATTAATAATTTATATATCATTGTGGCTACAAGCAAGTATCAAGTTTACATTCTTCTTTTCAATTCTGTTCCTGTTATGCAGTGTAAATATAATATTAGATGCATTTAATGTTAGATAAATTTTTATATCGAAGGGATTCTTATAATTTGCATAAGCAGGGTAGCTGAGTGCCTAAAATTTTGGTCTCATTTCGTTTTTACAATGCATCCTTCAGTTTCCATTTCTGGCAGCCTATAGTTGAACGCACATTTGCGGTGGCCACTCGGCTTGCCACTCACTTGCTCGCCCACGCAGCCCGCAAATGATGATATTGATGCACTTGAACTCCGCTGAGCCACTGGAAAAAGTTTCTATATTTTACAAAACATGAATAACTTTAAGTATATTTAATACTATAATAAATTCTCTATGTTAAAATTGGCCAATATTAATTTATATACATTAATTTTGTAAAATGGTGTAGTAGTTACGAGAATATGCAAGATTTTTCTTAGTGTTTTGCTGTGGACACCAGGTGCTTTGTTTTTCATGTTGCAGATGGAGTTTCAGTTGCAGTCGCAGCAGCAGCAGCAGCTGCCGCAGTTGCAGTTGTTGCCGCGATTGTTGCTGCAGCTGTGCGCCTAATGAGGATGGGCAGCAATGCGGCACGTAGCATCGGTGGCAACATCAGCCAAATAATCAGCATATGTCCGGCGGAAGTGGAGCTGCCCTGCCACTCCACGATTGCCCAGTCCCTTTATGCCATTATCCACGGCTGCAGTCGCGATGAAGTGCCAAAAAATCAACAAACTTTGTTGAAAAGGCCAAATGGTTGATGTCAGAAGTCAATTTCGAATATGCTGGATAGCAGCAAACGTCATTTGTTGAATGTTTAAAATATAAACAAATAGTTAAGATATTTAGAAATAAACAAAAAATTATAAATAATAAATATTTTATTAACAATTACAAATATTTTCTCGTTTTTAGTTTTTCAGCCACAAAAATCATTATGATAAATCAAAATCATCTTGATAATTGGCCCAGTTCTTCAGCAGAAGCCTTTATATTTCAGGTGGAAATTTCCTTGGGCCAAAGTTCACATGTCCTCTTCCAGTAAGTAAGTAAACTTGTTGCCAAAAAAAAAAAGAACCTAAAACCGAGATGGCTCACGCACAGTGTGTGTGTGTTTGTGTGTGTTTATCTCGTCGTATGTGGGAGTGTGTGTAAATACGTCAACAATTTTGTGCAAAGAAGGATTTCAATTTCCTTTAAGCGGAAGCGCGCTGTCAGTTTCGCATTTTGCGCCACAAATCATCAACTCTATCTGGCCCTCTGTCCCTGGCCATGGACTTTCCACACAGATACCATATAGATTGCAACAACACTGCACTTCACTGGAGCGTTCAGCGGGACTGGGGGCAAAAAAGGGGGGCGTGGCAGGAGCAACAGCTACACATCATCCATCCATCCATCTAACAATAAGCGTCCAGCAACAGCTCCTACTTCAGGCCAAGAAGCGGAGGAACGGAGCGGAGCCATCCATCTAGTCAGCCATCAGTCAGTTCGGGGCAGTTTTTGCATCACAAGTTTGGGCCACACTTGGCCAAAATGCGTGTGATATCGAATAGGGAAAAAAAATATAACAAAACATCCTTGGGGAAGAAGTAATATGAATGGCCCGAAAAAGTATGTTATACAAATATTGTTGAAATTAATCCACATAAAAAATTAAGTTTTATATATTTTATTAAGCTAAAAATTCGTGAAAGGAATAAGTGAAAAGTTTTCAGTGTACTTCTGTTTGCACTGGTCTTTGTCCAGAGGAAGGAGCAGGGCGTGAGGTAGACCAGGACCGGCTGAATTTATAGCAAAATGTCAACAGTTGCCGCGTAAATATGTAAAATTGTTTGTAAATAGCAATTTCGCTTTTGAGGCCGCCGATGCCATCCGTCCGTCGATGCCGAAAAGCAAACGATGTGCGTCAATCGAGTTCAAACGTCGAATGTAGAGGAGAGCAAACTTAATTTACCTTCAATTATGCGAGAGGTGTTAGAATAAGCCTTGGTAAGTTTATAGAGCTTGTGGAAGTCAGGGAGCCAATAATTACTCCAATTTGAGCACGTTGCAAAGTGCAATTATAAGGAATACGTTTTCTTCACGGACAACGAGGCGTATGAGTAATTTTTCAAAGCTGATAACCCATACGCAATGTTGACCCTAAAGTAGTTCAAATTAATTGTAGAGTGAACGCTTAAAAACTATACAAAAGGATTATAAAATATTCTAAAATTTATAGAGGACCGACTTCTCTGTATTTTATAAAAGTGCACAGTGGCGTATACGTAATTTTTATAAGCGGATAACTCATACGCAGTGTTGACCCACAAATAAGGAATTTGTTTGAAGAAAATCGAAAGTTTATTTTTGAGGGATTGCGCCTTCTTTAGAATTTGATCATCAACCGATTGGACTATTAATTTGAAATGCTTGTTAAGGATGCAGGGCTCCCAAGGCGAGTGGCATGGACATGGAAATGGCCAGCTGGACCTTTGCTCACTCTCGATATCCAATTCGCGATTCAAGTCCTTATCCCCCTCTCCCCGTCCATCGACTGCCAGCTGTGATAGCTCTCGATCCTCGAGGTCAATGGAAATGTGCTGCATACGGTTGTCAAACTGGAGTTCCTGCTCAAGTCCACGCCGTGTTCCTCCACCTCAAGGCATTGACTGCCGGTGGCCACTTCGGTGCGCTCCTGATTCACATCCTGCATCTGCGTCCGTACATCCATATTGGTTGAAATTTATTTTTGCAGTTAATAGAGAAAACTCATGCTCGATCGGAATTTTAAAGGGAATTTCTACTGGCTTTGCTGACAAATAATGAAAATGTACAACAGATGTTACTGAAACGTACAAATGGCTTACTTGTAATTCTTTTCTCCAAGAGTTTTTATTTAATTGACACCTACAAAATTGCATGCTTTAGAACTTCCTTAAGATTAGTGTTTTTCAATTTATAAAGTGAATCGCCTATTTTCATTGGAAATAAAACTGATGGGGGATGGCAAATTGGATAAATGGATGTTGCATCTCCAAATCGCTTTTGCATTCGGCTGACCATGAAGGAACCGCCTCCAGCTTTCCCTCGACCTTTCCCAACTTCCGCCCATCCTCAATCCCCTTTCTTCCCTGTCAATTGCCAAGTACCACGCCCACTGACCAGACTTCCCCGCCTCCTGGGTCAGCAACCTTGATGGCTGGCAGTGCGTTAATTGATTGTTCGTCTGGTCCATCATTATCGGCAGAGGGAAAGTCGTCCCGACTTTGGATCTGGCACATATGGCAGATTGGGGAAAGAGGAATGCGGAAAGTGGGGAGCCAGAGGGTTAAGGCTGACTGGATGCCATGCTGTTGACGCTGATGGACAGCCGTCGGTGGGTTAAGGGAGCGGCAAGGGAGCTGGCAAAAACAGCCAGTGCTGACAAGGAAATGGTTTTTCTTTAAAATAGTTAACAGACGGTAAGTTCTGGTATCTTGTTGTTTGTCCTAATCTAAAGTGCATGTATACTTTTAAATTCATATATTATTCAAAAATTAACTTATGATGCAATTTGTTTAAGCTTAGAAGTGTTGGAATTCATTTTTTGCAAGTTTTGAAAGGTCGGGGGTCATAAAAAATGAAAAAAAACATCGATCAAAAAAAGAAAAATAAACTAATGATGCAGCTTGATAGATATTTTATTAACAATATTAAAGAGGTATGCCACTTGTAAATAGGATAAAAATGAGAAAAGTTAGAGGTTTAGTATTGGGTTGCGGTCGCTTTTCTGCAAATCCAGTTTTTGCTAATTTTAAAAGGTCGAGGGTCATAAAAAATGTCAAGAAAAAATAAAGTTCGTTCAACAACTTTAGATCCGAAAACAAAACCATATTTGTTTTCTCAGAACAATGTTTTTTAATATTGGTTCATACTTTAAAAAATAAATAAAAATACAAATTTCACTACCCCACCTCAAGTGAAATAAAAATTGCATAAGAAAAAAAAAACGTTTCGTTTTATATAAAGCGCAATTTAAACGGCGATTTTATTTCATTTGCTAAATGCAAAAGGGAAGGCAAAAAATGGGAATGAACTTCCGTTTCTCCCTTTGCACTCGAAACGCACTTGTAGATGCCCGCAAATGATTCGATTTTATCGATACTTCGATACCGGTTCGCTTTCTCTGGTTAGACAGAGAGCGTTGCCGGGAGTGACAGGGAGAGATAGATGTGGCAAAAATCGGCATTGATTGTCCGTCCGGTTCATTGCAATCGCTGCAATTTAAGCGGGCAAACTTTTTGGCTCACTTTGCTCCGGTTCCTGCTGCTCCTTTTCGCCCTTTTTGTTTTTGGCCTACATAGAAATACGGATATGAAACGCCGACTCTATCTGTCTCCCCCGCCTTTTTATCATGCCCGCTACACTCGAAAAATTTAACTAAATGTACTTTCTATAAATCTTTATTTCAGAGAAGGTTTTAATAGGTTTAACCTTCTAAAAAAAAGTGTAATTGTTTTGAGTTCTTATAACAAAAACAAAATGTGTTTTCTTAAAAAAAACTTCTAATTTTTTCTAGGTGTAGCTATGTCTGTCTCGCTTTTACGGACAGGGGCCGTCTCTGTCTCACCGCAGTGGAACTTTTTTAATACGCAACACGAGTGACCCGCTTGCGGACAATTGGAATTGTAACTTTTGATTAAATTCGTTGCAATGGCAACCGGGTGAAAAATCGAAGGGAACGGTTGTAAAGCGGGAACGGGTAAAAACCGGGGGGGATTGGGGGGGTGGTGGTGGACCGGGTAAAAAAGGGGGAACGGGTGCGGAAGGAAAACCGGGAACGCTTGTGTTCAAGGCAAGCCAAAGGATAAACTTTTTGCGCTGGTTTTTCAATTGCATTTGATTACCTTGTTGCGTGGGCGGACACTCCGCTTGTTGCTCCATCTCTTTCCCATCGCTAGTTGCCGTCTCTTTCGTTCGCTTTAGCTTCTTCCCATTCTTTTCAATAAACTCTGACCGTAACGCCCACTTTCGGGAGTTGTTTGGCCACCACTTGTGAAATCAATTCGAAAACTATGCGAGCCCACGGAAAATATTTCCCATCCCTCTTATTATTTTCATTTTTATTATTATGATATTTATACATCTATCTATGCGTTTAATGTTTGCCCGGTACATTTGCAGAAAAAAATAAATATTCTATAAAAACAATTTTGCCCGATATGCGTATTATATGCATATAAATATGTTGTGCTATATATCGCCCTGATCCAAGCAAACACACAAATGGACACGGACACATTCGCAAATATTTGCATGGAAAATGCACAAAACTCACCGACTTCATCACTGTTAAGGTAAAAAAAATGTATTCAAACATTTTTCCCTATTTTATAATATAGACAATTTGCAATAGTTTTAAAATGTATTTATTAGGTCTAATTTTTCCCCTTAAAAATTAATTCTAATATTTAGTCAAATTAGTCAAAGCTGTTACTATTATTTTGACAGGCAATGTAAAGATACTCTTAGAAGGGGAGAAGGATTTTGTTTTTCGTTCCAGCCTCAAGCTAAATAAATATGTTTTCAAAATTACAACAAAAGAAACGATATAACATTTGTTGATGCACAAGAACAAGAAGTTCAAGAACGAAAAAAGAAATGCTAAAATAAATACAATTGCAAATTTAATGGCACACTGCAATATCAAACAAAAACCAAAAAGATAGTTGTCAGCAAACAAGGAAAAATCATTCAATATTTCATTTAAAAATTGTTGCTCAATTTTTGTCAATATATATTTGTTGTTTACGGTTTCAAGTTACTTCGCTCTGGGAAACGCTTTGCATAAGTCCCCAAAGTTTACAAATTTATTTAAAATTTCCCCTGGGGCTAAGTTCAGATTTGCCTTTTGATTTTGAATTAATTAATATTGGACTTTATTGGGAATTATTTGTTGCATTTCGGTAAGCGTTGAGTTGTGTTTTGTCCACAAACCAAATTCGATTGTGCAGGTAAAATGTTTATGTTACGGAAATTGTAACATCGCCATGAAACTCCATTTTTTTTTTTGCTAGCTTCCTTCACTTCCATCGATTGTTTTACTTTGTGCTCACTCTTTGCAATTAGGCGAAAAATTCAAATTCAAATCAATAGACGGGGAAAACTTTTGCTGCAGCACGTCGTCGCAGCAGAGGGGCCTATAGAATATATATATATATATATATATATTGGGGTGCAGGACCAAGAAGGATCCAGACCAGGCCAATTGGCCAATGCCAGCGGCTTCGTACGTGTTCGGCCAAAAATAATACCGGTACACACAAAAAAAAAAAATAGATTAACTAGATTATGGATTTTGCTGTGTATTTTAAACTGTGTTAATCTAACTTTTTAGTAAGTTATCAAAACAATTTCGTTTTTAAAGGGAATAAAATCCGGTAAAAACTTTTCGTTGAGCTCTTCGATTCCAGTAATCACCTTGTGATTTTTAATTTTTATTAAAAAATTCCTCTAAATATATATTTAAAGTGTGGTGTTCAGTTTAAGGAACCGGGTACTGGGACTGCGAGTATTTTGGTATGGGCCATTTCCTCCAAGGAGCCGCTGCAACAAGCGAAGATGCTGAAAGGACAGACAGGATCTGGAGCTGATTCTGAGGACTGGCGCTGACGTTGGGGCTAATGTGATTTCGTACGTTCAATTTGTGAATTGCCTGGAACACACGTACAGTGGCGAAGGACTTGAGGGGAATCGGGAAATCGGGGGGTTTTTCTGCTGAGGGGGAGGGGGAGGGGGATGGGGAGTAGGAGGGGGGATCGAGGGTCCTGGGACAACGACATATGCATAACTACGTGGCATGTGCATTTTGCTGGCTTTTCTTTTCTTCTCCCCATCTTTGTTCGCTTTTTTTGGCGGCAGCTTGCTCATTGTCGAGCAACAATTTAACATACAACGTGGTCGACATTTTAGGGTTTCAACGAAGAGGAAAATACCTAGGAAAAAGATAATAAGATACAAGAAGAAAAGTGTGTGCAAAAAGATTTATTCTAAATGAATATGTCATAAATATTTGTATATTATGTTTGACTGTAAGAATAAAAGCTTATTGAACCTTTTCTAAAATTCTAAAAATATATATTACTTATCAACATCTCAACAAAAAACCAAATATATAATAGCAACTAATAAAATTAAATATTTGTTCCATTATATAATTTTATCGAAGATCCTTATCAACTCTTTCCTTTAAATTTTGTACAGGGTATCAGGAAGAGCGGACTGTGCGGCAACAATGCTGTCAGCAACATGATTACCTACAGCGAATGAAAGAGATGGCAGCTCCTCGGGGCGAAAGAGAGGGGCAGTGGATGGATGGCTGGGTCTGCAGGCTGAAGTTGAATGCAATTCGTGGCAAGAGGAGTTCAGTTCGGAGTTACCCTCAACCAGCCACCAGCAAGCAGCAAGCAGCAAGCAGCTCCCAGTTTCCAGTTCCGACTCAGAAATCGCAGTCCGATGCCAGTTGGAGTTTGGTTGCATTAAATGTAAGGCACTGTGCCAGACACATATCCCAAATGCGAGCGCGAGAGAGAGAGAGAGAGAGGGGTATATACATGTCGAAAGAGACGGACAGATGGACAGACGAACGGACTGCGGCAGAGACATTTTGCATTAAAATTAAGGCAAATTTATAATGAGCCAAAATTGTCGTTGCGATGCAATCGCCGCAATATATAATATATGGCGCATATAGCATCATATATCTATATATGTATATATATATATATAGCTGCATATATGAGTGGTTGCACATAAAATATATGTGTGCCTGGACGTGACTCCTGACTCCTGATTCCTGATTCCTGATTCCTGACTCCTGTCTACTGTCTCCACATCCTGGCCAGTTTCCTTGTCCTGCTCCCGAGCCCATTATTGGGGTAATTTATAATTTGTTCATTTAAATGATTACAAAGGCAGAGGGCAACAGCAAGACAGATCGCTCGACAACTACAGACCACCATAAAAATGAATGGCCAATTTTTATTGCAGCCAAGAGGGGTTTTTATTTAAAGTTCAAAGTTAGTTGGAATAAATTTGTATATCATTTTGGTTACTTAGTAATATTAGAAATCAAATTTTCATAAAGCAAACAAGACAAGCATGCATTTTTTATCACATTTGCCATATCATCGCTGAGTTGAAGAAAAGAATTTAACGTCTTAGGGGAGAGTCACATTTCACTGGAAAATAAGCACTATTTGTTTTTTTTTTCTGTTTTTTTTTCTAGTCTTTTTTTTTTTGTTTTGAAGAGGAATGCAACAACCATTTGTGGCACCTGGTCATTAGGGAGCATGTGTGTGCGCATCCGACTGACACAACTGAAATTTAAAGTGCAACATCAATCACTGGTGCAAACGGGGACAAGACTTCTTCTTTTCTCGCCTTTTGGCAAGGAGCATTTATGCCTTCCTTTTGGCTAGGCCCAGGACATATATATCCTGGCTTCCTGTTGCTCAACATTTCAGCTGATCCAGTCCCTCCCCCTCCGCCTCCTCCTCATCTAGCTCCATCTACCGCCATCTCCTTCGTTCCGCCGAAAGCCCCAACTCGAATTGTAATGACGCAACAATTTAAAGTTTGTCGTTGATGCAGCAAAACTCGGTGCTAATGGCGTCAGCGTCAACGTCTCTCAACTCATCTTTGCACCCCTCATAGCCCCACCCCGCCACTTCTCGGGATCCAATCCTGTCGTCCTGATCCTGTCCTGCCATCTTGTTTTTGTTGTTGTTGATGACGGCGATTATTTGCGCCATGAACACATGGAAGCAGCTGCAAAAGGTGGCGTCCTGCATCCTGTAATCCTCCTCCATCGACGGCCCCATTTTTAAGTCCCCACAACGGCATCCCACTTCCAACCTTCGTCCAGGTTGTCCAGGCGGAAAAAACCCACTGAAAAATAAAAAAAATTAATAAAAAAATATAAATAATTAAGTAGCAAAGGTATAATATTTATAGAAGCATAATATCTTGTTTCAAATATTATTATAGTTAAAATATTTGTTTTTTGACATTTTTTTCTTTTCAAATCCAAAGGATATATATTATGATATGCTCTACTGAATTTCTTTCAGTGGATTAGTGTGCAGCAATTCAAACTTTAAGCTGTCGACGTGGCAAAGTCGAGCACTGCAACTGCAGCCAGTGCGTTGGAAAGAGACAGGGCGATGGTGAGAGTAAGAGACAGATAGAGCCAGACACTTGGCAATACAAATTGAAATACTTCTCCTTCAGCTTCTTCTTCTTTCTACATCTATATCTATATCTATATTTATATCTATAGCTATAGCTATCGCCGTCTCTTTCGCAGTGAGCTTGACTGTTGCTCTGCAGGATGTATTAATATAAATGAATTATTCGGATGAGGCAGTATACCGTATACAGTATACAGTATACCGTATACCCCTCCCCCTTCCTATAGATATTATGATGGATACGCCTTAACGATGCTGCCGACGACATCGGGGGACGGACAGAGTGAGAAAGAAGGCGAAAGGACTAAGAACGTGGCAGGACGATGCAGCTTGTTTCCCAAAAAGTTGGCCAAAACTTTATGGCGACGAACACCTGACAATCCCAACGGAGTCAGAAAGGCAGAAAAGAAAATAAAAAGGATTCACTTGAGTTCCCAGTTTAGATCTAATGAATGAAATGAGCAAAATATGGTACAGGTGCAACTGGATACAAAGTACTTAACTATCCTAAATACCTAAATACAATTCTAAGATCAGAAAAGTAGAAATAATGAAGTGCGTCCCTTGGTTACTTATCAGTTAAGTTCTGCTGGCACTTTCTGATCCCAGTTTATACTGTTTATATTATCCGGGTAATTGTTCATTTCTGCCGGTCACCTAATCCCCGTACAACTGTACAGGACTTCGCAAGAACAAAGCCCCCGAAGATTTCGTGGCGTGCCACCGGAACGGACGAACATCCACGCCCCTGTTTAAGTTTTCGGTGTTGCACACAATTTTGGCCATCGCCCTGCGGCGGTAACTGCAATTTAGACAAGTTTATTTATATGAATGTGCGACCCCGGGCAACGCAATGCACACGTACACGTATCCACTAAATCGCACAAGGATCTGCATTCAAGGATCTGCTGCTGCCATTGTTGCCGTGGTCGAAACTTATTGTCGTCGCATGTGGCACATTGGAAATTCGCCGGGGGCAAGTTGGTCGTTCAACGTTCAACGTTCGACGTTCGTCGTCGTTGCCGCTGCCAGCTAATGATATAATGAGCTAATCAATACAATTAATTAGCATTATCTGCATCTTAAACGGGGCAGCGGCAAAAGGCAATCGCCGATGTGGATTGAAGTGGAGTGGAACTGGGCGAGGTGACCCCAAAAAGCCGCAACCGAAACCCAATTTGACTGACTACTTGAACGGCCGAACAACGGGGTACTTTACCCACACACACACACACACAGAGTAAAGGATATGCACTGTGGAAAAACATCGAAAAGGATTTTCTTGTTTGAATTGTAAGTATTTTCTATAAGAATGGTTTTAAGACTGATGATTATTTAGGTTTCTGTTAAATACAGCTTAATGGTAAATTGGTAAATGATTTTTCTCCAAGTGTTTGGAAAGGGGTACGAATGTGGGGGTCACAAGATGCGGTTCGAGGGGCGTGGGCTTGTGTGGTTGCATCCTGTACTCTGATTCCTGTGGTGCCCGCTGCTGCGTAAAAAGTGGGCTAAATGTCGTTGGCAGTCGCCTGGCAGCACAGCTGGGATCTCTACCGCTTTTGGGTCCCCTCTTTTGCCCCACACCTCCTCTCACCCCACAAAAAGAGGAGCCCAAAAGCCTCCAATCCCCGAATCCCGTCTCCATTGCCCGAATTCCAAGCCCAAGGCAACTTGAGCGCTGTGAAGCGCTCAACGAAATGGTCCAATTGCCGGGCAAGTGGACCAAAAGTGCCGACGTCGCCTGTTGGATCTGTGTCTACTTTCTGTCTCCCATTTTCCCCTTCACTCCGACCCCCTTTCATCCCCGTTTTCCAAAATTATATGGCCAGCAACTTCTCACCTGTTACTTAAACTTATGCACCAAAGCATTTTTTCGGAAGCCACAAGTTTGAGTGCGTTAAAAACTATTTAAAACTATTTAAAAACAATGAATATTAAATCTTCAAAATAACATGGTATTTATCGAAAGTTCAATCCCTTATTAAGCTGGAAATCCAAATAGAAAAGGAATCCCCGAAACACCTAAACAATTTTCGCACATTTACCTATTAATTATGGCACAAAATTTGATTTCGTTTTGTAATTACTACGCAATTCCATTTTTATCAACGGAAATGCGCGCCACGATAATTTATGATGGAAAAACAATTAAATTTATTCAACCCAAATACGCTGTAATGAAAGTGTGCACAAACTGGCTATATCGATGAGTACTTTGTTGTATATATTATAGATAACAATAACTAATAACTTAAGCAGCTTTTGAGGTTGCAATTCCACAATTTGGTTTTTTTTGGTTTGTTTGCCACTTATTTTTTCTGTGTTTTTTTTTTGGTTTGGTTGGGGGAATCGCACAAATTTGTAAGCGTAATGTACTTACAATGCAAGGGAGCGTGGAGCTGAACGCTAGACAATACAAAATGGTGGGGTCCAAAAATTTCTAAACAAAATTGTGGCCACTAACCGAAATTGCATTTGTTGCACTCCACCATTTTCCATTTGCCACCCATTTCCCTGGTCTGCTATTTCCACTGTTATTGTTGCATGTCATAAATGATGCTGCTAAAGAGTCAAGAATAATCCGCTTTTGTGTGCATATCACAATCAAATGCTAACCACCGAACGCACAGCCCCCCTCCCCCCCCCAAAAAAAAAAAACGAAAAAAGAAATACAAACTATATACCAAAGACAAAATGGACGCTGAAATAAAAACAAAAAAAAAAAAAAAATCCTTGTTGCCGGCTTATCCCCGACAGTGAGGATGATATTTTTGGGATGGCACCCAAAGGATTCAGGATACTACTGTATTCCACAAAAAGGAACAAGAAAAAAACATACCTGATGAAGCCACCTCAAGTGCTTAATACTGGTAGACTTGGCAAATCAGATTTAGAGCAATTCCAAAGGGTTTTTATGTGGGATTTCGGATAGTTGAGTTTTAAATGCATTGAAAAGGAAAAAATATGTTTTGTTGGATGGATTATTACTTGAAACTACTGCCATAAATACTTATGTATGTGCTTTTAAGTTTATAAACCCCAACTTATATTTTCTTTTTTCACTGATTTTTTCTCTTTTTTAGGAATTACATATTTTTTCACTTTTTTTTCTCAGTGTACTTTCCACTGGCACGCAAAGAGATCTTCAAATGTAATAGATAATACTTCCAAATCTAGCCCCGCAAAGTACTTCGTAGATCATTAACCAAAATTGCAACTCTCTGCCATATTTCACCAACAATTTCACCCGAAATGGACTTAGGGGCGTGAGGAGGGGGGCGTGACTCGGGATTAGGGGAAAGGAGGAGGAGGAGGGGGAGGGGGGATGGGGCAGGGGTCATGTGCCGAGCATGAGGAAGTTGCAAACAACATGGCGCAGCATAGCAGCAACAAAAGTTGCAACAACAGCAGGCACATCAAACGCTGCAAGAACTGGGACGCTCACACACACACTCACTAACACACACACACAAACAGATGCAAGAAGCACATACAGATGCACCAGCAGGACCTATGCACATGCCCGCTAGGTGGCGCTGGACCAGGCTCCAGCTACACTGAAATAAAATGCACCCTTCATTCAGGGGTAACACAAATATCAGTTGAACAAATGGTAGATAATTTAATTTATTCAGTCTTACAAAAATGGCAATAAACCATTTATATTACTAAACTGATTTACTGTTCCTAACCTATTTTTATTCAATATTTTTTTGTACTGCACTCCAAAAGTAGTGGCTTCCAATCCGAAGCCTAAGAAAGCACAACAACAGCAAACAAACAACAACGAAACGGAGAAAGAGAAGGAGAAGAAATCAACAGTAACACATACTCACCACAAACATACACGCACACACACATGCTGTCACAAGCACACACACTCACACACACATACAAATTAAAAATGCAGATTTCTATTGCAACATTCGGAAGTGCTTGAAAAATTGTTGTTGCCACTGCCGCTGCATCGTTCCCAGTCATCGTTATTGCCAGCTCCATCTTCCATCTTCCATCGTCCTCGCTTCCCCCTCCTCCCCCCTTTCGTATGCCGTCACATATACATATATATCCCCCTACCCCCCATCCCCCGTTCCCCCTTCATAGTTTCCTGCTGTTCCTGCTTCGGTTTAAAAAGCCTCACAAAGCTCCCACCCCTTTTGTTTTCCGCCCCTTCTATTCTCTCACAGTCCATCCTTCTGCAGATCTCCTCCCCTTCTCCTCTTCTCCCCTTTTCCCCTTTTCCCCTTCTCCACTTCTTCGCTTCATTCGGTTGTTTTGAATGCCCTGAATGGGGGTCTCATAAATTCGAGGAGATCCCTCAAAACAAAAATAATTCCAAGTCCCCAAACATCAATGGTAAATCCATATAAAAATCAAGGTATGACTATATGTTATAGAAAGATATTTATAGTTAAGTAGGGGCAACTCCATGTGGTATTGAATATCTCCACAGGGAATTTATTATTTAAGGACCTTAAACAAATCTGGCTCCAAACGAGTTGGAGTGAAAATCGATGCTTTCTTGCAAGTATGCATTCAAATATTAAAGAAGTCTCGCTCGAAATCATTTAGATTCGAAGTAAACGAACGTCACATGCCTCAAAGAGTGTTAGAAACTTCGTTTATTTTAA